TGAGGGGGGTGCGAGGGAGTTGGGGGAAGGGGGACCCTGCGGCGGGCAGCGGTTAACGGGGGTTGGGTTGCAGCGGTGCGGTCGGGGGGGAGTCAGCGAGGGTTGTCTCGCCAGGGTCGTTGACATGGGGAGGGCACAGCGCCGCCAGCATGAGCCTGCCGCGGACCATGTGCAGGACACATTCAGGGCCCGCTCCCCTGTATATCGGTACCTGGTTGTCGGCCAGAAGGTCGACAACAAGGGGGTCATGATGCTCCGTTGCACGTCTTGCAAAAAAGTTTTCCAAGGGACCCAATTTCAGGCCACGAGGCACTTCACACAGACAAACTACTGCAAGGACGTCAGCGAAGAGGCGTTGTACGAGATCGCACGACGGACTCAACAGAAGTTCGAGGCCGATCAGATGGAGAGGGTTGCCAGGTATGCAGCGGAGCGCAGACTCGATGTGCCCGACACGGGTGGTTAAAGGGGAGGAGAGGCGGGGCGGCGTCTGGTGGAAGGAGGGGTTGGGGGAGATGGCGGGCATGGTGCGCCAGACCACCCGTTGGGGGGTGGAGGCGGTGACATGGAGGAGGGCGTGATCCACGTCGATCGCGAGGCCCATGACCCGGGCGAGGAGGGAGTCCCGGAACACGAGGACGTGCCAGAGTTTCATCCAGGCATTGGGGAGAGGATGAAGGACTGGCGGAGGCGAGCAGGCAAGAGAGCTGCAACGGAGGGGTCTTCCAAGAGGTAGGAAGGAGGAAGTGATCCGGCTGCCACCCCAGCAGGAAAAAGGCTTTGCCAGAAGAAGGTGACTGATGTCTACGTGGCGAGTGGGTTGCTCGCCACAAGAAGGCATTCCTTCGCTGGCTCTATTCCAACGGGGTCTCCTTCAATGCCTTTCGCAACCAGTCTTGGAAGGCATATCAACAGGTGCTTCTTGAGCAGCCTGGCAGTTCCCCGCGCGCTGTGCTCCCCAACCACAGCGAGATTGCGAGTATGCGGGCGGTGGAGACCCACCGTGCAGAGCTGGCGGAGGAGTTGGAGGAGGTGAGGCAGCCATTCTGGGTGAATGGTGCCTCCCTCCTCTCCGATGGGGAGAAATCACGAGACGGGAGACCGATCGTGAATTTCCTTGCCGCTGGCTCGGGAGGGGTCGTCGTGTACACGACGATCAATCGAGAGGGCGAGCCGGATGATGCAGTGCACGTCCTTTGGAGATGGGTTACCATCTTTCACGAGTTCAGCTTCGGCGGGCCGCAGCGGGTCAATGCGATATGCACTGACTCCGCTTCTGCTTACTCGTGAGGGCTGCAAGGGCATTGGCCTCGCCGTTCATGCCTCTTGCACTGAGGAGGATCACTTGGCTTCCGTGCTCCGTCCATGTCTGCAACAAATTGTTGTCAGACATGGGGACGAGTTGCGACGCGTTTGTCGACGCATCACAAGCGCTCGTGTGCTGGTGGTGTTTTTCAAAACCCACTAGGGCGCCCTTCATTTTTTTAGGATGCGCAACCCCAACAAGGTGCTTATTCTTTCTTGCGAGATGCGGTTCGCGTCTGTTTATTCCGTGCTAGAGAGGTTGTTGGCCCTGCAGGACACTTTGCAGGATATGATGCGAGGGGATGACGCGCGGGCTTTTGCTTCCATCCCGTGGTCCGCCGATGTGTGCGTCATGGCGCGTTGGGTGCGCCGACAAATCAGATGGGATCCATGGTGGCAGAGGGTGGCCACCATCGTCCATATCATGTAGCCCGTCATGGAGTTGCTTAGGCGGATGGATCGTGGAGGACAATATATGTCCCTCATGATCGAGTGGACGCAGGATCTTGTACGCCGTGTCACGGACGCATGCGCCCCTTTGGGGAAGTCGTTCGCCGAACGGATCATCAGGCGTGTGCAGACTCGCACACAACACATGCTTGAGCCGACTCACTGCGCAGGGTTCTTACCGAACCCTCGCAGGCGACACGTTCGCTACTTTTCGGGCAAGGTTGATCGGTACCATGCTTGGCTTGTGGGGCAAGCCAAGAGGAACATTCTGACGCAGACGGGTTTCGAGTAGGAGGGTGCGGACTACATCCTTGCATGTCGGCAGTTTGAGGACTTCCACATTCAGCAGTGCAGGTTCGGGGATTGGGGCGGGGCGGAGGGCCGTGCTCGTGGGCATGCATGCAGCGGCGACGGCGAGACGATTGAGTGCGCGTCTTGGTGGTCTCAGTTCGGGTCGGGCGCGCCAGAGTTGCAGTGGTGCGCTCTTCGGGTGATGCACATGTGGTCTTGCGCCTCTCCTGCTGAGAGGAACAGGGCACACACTGCACGACGGGCGGCGGACCGTGCGGAGAGGGAGATGCTGGGGGGAGAGGAGGAGTTATGGGGCCCGTTCGGGGAGGTCGCTTCCACGGGCGGCCCAGAGGCGCAGGCGACGACCCCCACTCCGACGAGGCGGGAGTCCATGCCGCCACCTCCTGCTCCGAGTCCTGCACCACCATCGCCCGTCTCGCCACTTCAGCCGGCCACGGCAACAGCGGACAGGGAGGAGTTGGGGTCCTTTTTGCCTCAGCGCGGACTTCTCCACAGAGGCGGGGCAGTCCGCCAGCTGAGGTTACGTTCACCTTCCCCGGGGATATTGCAGGAGGAGGGGGCACCATCGGCAACAGCAGTGGAGGGGCAGGTGGCACCAGCGGCGGTGGCGGACGCAACGATCGCAGCTGAGGTTGACGAGATAGCAGCAGCAGCAGCAGTGCTGAAGGAGATGGCAGCATCACTGCTGGCGGAGGAGGCACCGGCGGCAGGAGGAGCAACAACAGTGGAGGGGTAGGTGGCAACAGCAGGAGGAGCAGTTGGAGGAGCAATAGCCGTGGAGGTGGAGGGGGAAGCAGCAGTGGAGGAGGAGGAGGCACCGTCGGCAGCTGCAGCGGAGGGGGGGATGCCGGGACCAGTGGAGGAGGAGATAGCGCACAGGCGGAGGTGCAGCGTGGGGGCAATGACGAGCGCCTCATGTAGCAGTTCCTCATGGAGGAGCTCGATCCGGTTATAGCGGGTATGACCCCAAGTGTGGCGAGGGGGTTTGGGATTTCGGATTCGGAGATGGGGACGCACTTAGACTTTGATTTGTCGATGGGCCTTCCACCTAGTTGCGGCGGGACGACGTCGACGGACCGGGCTCCATCGAGGGACAAGGCGGCAGGACAGACTTTGACGCTGACCGCAGGAGAGAGGACGACGACTGAGTCTCCAGATGCAGCACGCGACATCATGGAGCGAGAGAGGGCTCGACTTTTGTATTTTGAAGTTCTTATACAGATATTGTAGTTTTATCTATTTCGTTTTTTTCCATATTCTCTTATCTTGAAATGTTATTTTTTTTAACATATCTCTCATTATGCTTACTTCTATTTAAATATAAAAGTAATGATAGATTTAAATTTTTACTATCAGTATATCGAGTAACCTGCGTGCTCAGGCGTTCGCACGGGTCTTAGAGGAGGTCAGGCTTCGAGAGACAGGGGGGGATTGTGTGCAGGGTGGGGTGGTGGCAGGGGAGGACGTTGCGGAGGGAGTGGCAGCAGAGGCGGTCGATGAGGCTATGCCGGGTGGAGCAGAGGCAGCGGACGTTGCTGTGGAGGGACGGCCATAGACGGTGGATGAGGCTATGCAGGCAGGACAGCGGCGAGTCGAGGGGGCTATAGACGCACGGCGCGTGGTCTAGGAGACAACGACGGGTCCAGTCGTTCCGTTCTCGGGCCTGCACTTGGCTCAGGGCCGATAGTCGTAGGTGGTTTAGATGGCAGTGCATGGTGTTCCACCGCCCGTTATCACGAATTTGGGGTCCGAGCTGGTGGTTGTGCCCCCACGTCTTCCTAGCCACTTTGCTCCGCAGGAGGTCCATCGTCCTTTGGATGCAGAGGAGTTGGCGAGAGAGGCTGTACACAATGTTCCGCGATTGGACCGGCGGATCTTCGACTAGAGGCTCGAGCACCCAGCATGGTAGGCGATCCCTTCGGTTCCATGGGGTCCTGCTTCGCCCGTGTGGTCTGGGTCTACTTCCACAGGGGGACGTGCCGTGGGACATGTTCCAGGGGTTTCTGGTGGCGTGATGGAGACAGCGCCACACACAGGAGACATGCCACCCCCTCCTCCTAGAGCACCTGTAGGTGATCCATCATCGTCGCCCACAGGCAGAGGCTCTCGATCCCCACACACGCCTGGGAGATGTAGGATTCGTGACACGACAACAGTTCAGCAGGACATGTGTGACATGACATTATTCGGGAGGACAAACATAGATTTGGATTCCACCCGCTGTGTCATGGAGCACATTGCACGCCTTCAACCGGGCTTGGGACCCAGCGGCGCCAGGACGACCGCGGCGAGGGAGGTACCGACATCAGGTTGTGAGCCTCAGAGAGGTCGCGGCAGAGGAGTGTCCACCTAGAACTTGGAGTACGCTCTGAGAGTAGTGACGCGTGCCGTGCAGGAGCAGACTCCACGCAAGCGTGAAGTGCCTCCTCGTCCACGCCCCGTGCCTGCAGAGGGAGGCGCTGCACTTGGAGAGAGTTCGGGGCGGAGGGGTTGGGGATGCCTCATGGATCCCGCCGTGAGCAGACCGTTGCAGAGGCTAGTGCGAGGGTTGTTGTGCTGAGGAAGGGAGGATGCCCAGTCACCATCGAGGAGGATGATCCTGATACGAATGCGGCTGTGCGGGAGGCAGACGAGGACTATGAGGGCAGAGAGGACGGAGAGGAGGAAAGCAGGAGCGGTTCTGATGGTGATGACGACGACGACTACGATGAGCCCCAACCTCCCCCAGGACCCCCACCGACGCGTTGTCGACCGGTACAAGGGATCTGCCAGCCTCCAACACCTGTCTCTTATACACATCTAGATGTGTATAAGAGACAGATCCTGATACGAATGCGGCTGTGCGGGAGGCAGACGAGGACTATGAGGGCAGAGAGGACGGAGAGGAGGAAAGCAGGAGCGGTTCTGATGGTGATGACGACGACGACTACGATGAGCCCCAACCTCCCCCAGGACCCCCACCGACGCGTTGTCGACCGGTACAAGGGATCTGCCAGCCTCCAACACAAACCCTGTATCTCGCGCCGTGTCTGTCACCCACGGGAGGGTTGGTCGGGGCTCCTGTAACCTGCACAATCAACGTCAATACACATCCATGACAAAATGCAGCTCAGACTGACTCCATGCCACGGGATACTTGTCTCAAGAAGTGGGCCGGAAAAATAATAATATAAGAATTTCCATTCAGTCAAGTACAATAGGATGCTCCGCGCAGTTCCCAACCCCAACAGAAGTTCCTATATCTATGTGTGTGGGATCGGTTTGGGTACCCACAGATCTAGTCATCACTCGCCGCCTGATCCTCCTCGCAGCATGGTATCGGCGGTATCGGGCCCGTCTATCCCACGGAATTGTGCTCGAACTCTTAGTATCAGAAGTAGCCTCTCGCGCCCATCAGGGCCATAACTCGACGTCAGTCGTGACCATGGCCTCGCGGAAGTTGATCTCCTCGAAATACTCCCATGAAAGCCCGGCTGGCGGAAGTCCCTTCTTAGAAGGCCCGGTTCGGGAAAGTGTCTCTTTGGTGCCCCAGGGCCTCGAGACGACCTACCACACCCCCTAGACCGCCGTGTGCCCCTTCGGGGGTCCGAAGCTCAAAGTACCCTTTCGGAAAGCCCGGTTCGCAAAAGTACCCTTTGGGAATCCCCGAGCCTCAAGATAACCAGCCAATGTCCCTTAGCCGTCGTGAGCCCTTTTGGGAATCCGAATCACCAAGTGCCTGTTCGGAAAACCTGATTCGGAAATGTACCGCTTCGGAGAGCCCGCTTCACGAAAGTACCAGCTCGAGAAGCCCTGTTCGTTCGTACCTCTTCAGAAGGCCCGCTTCACGAAAGTACCCCTTCGGGAAAGTACCCCTTCAATAAAGTGCCGCTCCGGTAGAGTGCCCTCCGGTAAAATGCCCCTTCGGTAGAGTGCTCCTTCGGTAAAATGCCCCCTTCAGTAAAGTGTCCCTTCTGTAAAGTACCCCTCGGCGAGGTGCCCTTTCGGTAAAGTGTCCCTTTGGTAAAGTGGCCCTTCGGTAAAATGGCCCTTCGGTAAAGTGCTACCTTCGGTAAAGTGCCACCTTCGGTAAAGTGGCCCTTCGGTAAAGTGGCCCTTCGGTAAAGTGCTACCTTCGGTAAAGTGCCACCTTCGGTAAAGTGTTCCTCGGATAAAGTGTCCCTTCAAAAAGAGTGTCCCTTCGATGCGTCCGTTCCGGGTTGTACCTCCTCGAAAGCTGGTTCAAGGTGAAGCCTAGTTAGGCGTGGGCCCCTTCGTGGGCCGCGGGTCTGAATGCACCCCAAAATCCTATTCGGCCCGGTATCACTATCTGCGTCTAAGGGGTCGGTTCGGTCTGATTTCCCAATCTTCGCCAAACAGCCTGATTCGAGAGCGTGTCCTTTCAAAAACTCGCTCGAGATGAGCCCTCGTCGATACGCCCGATCCGGAATATAGTCCTTCAGGACGCCCAGTCCGGAAAAGTGCCCCTTTAGTGCACCTGATCTAAAATGTGCCCCCTCGTCATGGCCCGGTTCAGCGGATTGCCCAACGCTCCAACCGTGCCTGAGGGGCCCGTTCACCTAGTAGCCCGACCACTCTCGATAGAGCCCGTTTCCCCATCAGTCCGTTCCCCGATCCGAGAGCCCGTTCGGTCTCACGCCCCGGAGTACCCAAAAGTTCCTCCTTGGGTGGGCCCCCACTCGGGTGGTCACCTTCCGCCCAGTGGTCCTTGCTCCTCTGATCCGCCACGTAGTGCTTCCCACCTTCCTGATCCGAGGGTGATAAGTGGTCCTGCGCTCCCGGTACGCTGCGCGATGTTCCGCACTCCTCTGGCCTGTACGTACATGGGTGATCTCCCCTATCCGTAGTTGTGCGGGTGTTCCCGCTATCAATCGTAAGTGCGCGGGCGTTCCCGCAATCAGTCCGCAGGTGCGCAGCTGATCCCGCTGCCAATTCGCAGGTGCGCGGTTGATCGCGACGTCCGTTCCCAGGTGAGCGGGTATTCCCACGGTCAGTCCGCTGGTGCGCAGGTATTCCCGCTGTCAGTTCGTAGGTGCGCGGCTGGTCCCGCTACCAATCCGTAGGTGCGGGAGTATTCCCGCGCTCAGTCCGCAAGTGCGCGGCCGATCCCGCTGCCAATCCGCAGGTGCGCGGGTATTCCCGCGGTCAGTCCGCTGGTGCGCGAATGTTCCCGCGGTCAGTCCGCTGGTGCGCCAGTGTTCCTGCGGTCAGTCCCCTGGTGCGCGGGTATTCCCGCTGTGAGTTCGCTGGTGCGCAGGTATTCCCGCTGTAAGTTCACAGGTGCGCGGCTGATCCCGCTGCCAATCCGCAGGTGTGCGGGTATTCCTGCTATACGTGCATGCGTACGCGCAGATGGTGCGCAGATCCCCCAACCGTTCGTCCCCCCCCATGAGCGCGAAGATTCGAGACGGCTAGCTAGCGCGCGCGGTGCCCTTGGCGTCCTCCGTTCCGCCTCGATCCGCAGCGGCTGGAGAAGTGGATGCGCGTGTGGTCGTGCACGGCGTGCGGGCCCTTGCGCTCCTGTGCACGGAAGGTGTGCGCAGGTATCCGCGCTGTTACACGCAGCGCATGCGCGCGTGTGCGTTCATGCGCAGAGGGTTCGCGCGGGTGAGCGCGCACTCACGCGCTGCTCGTGCTCAGTTGTGCGCCTGAGCGCGGATTGTGAGCGCACAGTCACCTGCAGTGCGTGCTTGAGTGTGTGTTCGCGCGCAGAGGGGTGAGCGCGCAGTCACGCGCTGCTCGTGCTCGGTTGTGCGCCTGTGCGCGGAGTGTGTGCGCTTGGTCACCTGTCGTGCGTGTGTGCGTGTACTTTCGCGCACAGAGGGGTGAGCGCGCAGTCACATGCTGCTCATGCTCGGTTGTGCGCCTGTGTGCGGAGTGTATGCGCTCGGTCACCTGCAGTGCGTGCGTGCGTGTACGTTCGACCTCCCTGTGCACCTGTCCCTGCCTGCTCTCCTTTGCGCACGTTCGAAGTGCGCTCCTGTTCGTGCGAGCGAGAAGGGTCCCGCGTCTCCCCTCCCGTGTGTCTGTCTCCCGCATGTGAGAAGTGCCATGCTTCTCTCTCCCGTGCGCCACTATTCCTGCATCCCCCAAAGTGTCCCTTAAATAAGCCCAGTTGGGCTTTTAAAGTCCGCAGACCTCGGCCTCAGCCTTCTCGCCTCCCAAGTTGCCAGCGCGGGGCTGCTGAAGTTGCAACGTCCTGGTACTAAGCCTGCGCCCGGGCCTGTTTGGGCCCCGAACAATTTTTTTTGTCGAGGAGGGCCTTCTTCTCGGGAACCGGGCCCTTTGCAGTGCCCCGTTACAGAGGTTTTTACCGAACCTGTTATGGGCCTACTTTGGCCCAGGTGGTCTCCAATCACAACGGTACCGGCCCCCCTTTTGTGTAAACCACGCCGGCCTATCCAAAATTCCAGGTCCGAAGGCCTATCTCTAAGCCCTAGGCCTGCGCCTATTTTCCCTTAGTCTCGGGGCCCCTGCGTAGCCTTGGTCCCACCACTTGTCCACGTAGGGTGTTCTTTGGAAACCGGTCACTCGAGGCAACTTTGAATACCTTCGTCGCTCAAGATGTTCGTAGCCTCACGGTAAGCGCCCGGCGCCTCCGTTTCCTCATCTGTCCGCCGACTTTCAATACGATCCCGGCCTTCCTCGGCCACGCCTTTCGTCCGAGCCGTCGACAATTATTCGTCGTGGTAGCTTTTTCGTGTTCGCTAGTGGCTTACGTTTTAGGCTCTTTCCGCAAAGACCACTGTTCAACGCTCGTTCCCTGCTTTAACTAAATGTCGTAGCTTGGTCACTTGTTCCGTTAACCTGTCGCGGCATTTTTCCCATGGTCGGTAAGCCCCGGCCAGGTAGAAACCAACAATTAGAAACCTTGATGCCCGCCCTCGTAAAGGAAGTAAAGGGCGGCGTAGGGCTGGGGCTGCCCGACAGCAGCCCCCCCCCCATTCTCGACGTCCCCTGCGAGCGATCCGGTATATCAAGGAAGAGGAGGAAAAAACCGACTCCTAATCTCTGCCGATCAACCCAAGACTGTCTTTTTTTTTTCTTTTTTTTTTCTTCACCGTATCCCTTTTTGTCCCCTTTTCTTCTTTCCTTGCTTTTTCTTAACCAATCTCTTTTTAATCCCTAATCGGTTGGTGGACCCCCGTTGCTTCTTCTCGCTGTGGTGCACACTTTCCTTCTTGTCTACTACCAGCATGAACACTGAATTCGTGAAATCCTAACAAAACCACAAAACCTTACGTTTTTTATAAAATGAAAAAGTAAAAGTCAAACTCTTATTTTTGACACATTAAAGAGAGTGTTTTTAATTGTTTCCTGAGAAAGGAGGCAAAAAAATGGAAAAAAAATCTAGTGATTCTCAAAATGTGCAAGAAAACTCTTTCCAATAAAAAAACATATTATAGGACTATAAGTTGTTTTCAGTAGATTGACAAAAAACATAGCTAAAACAATCAATTTCTAAGGACTGCAAGACGAAATTGAAAGACGTTAAAAAAATAGTTTCAGTGAATACTCATTTAAAGAACTATAAGTCGTTTTCAACAGTTTGGTAAAACCAAGTTCTGTGAAAACTAATTTATAGAACTATAAATTAATATAATTCATTTTAAAGTTTTTTGTAAAATTATTGCCAAAAAATATATGTTATGTAAAAGAAGAATTAAAACAACTTTTGCCTCGGGGACATCTTCAATTTTTTAGCCAACCACGATTTAAAATTAAAAAATAGAAAAATATTTTAATAAAAAATCTAAAAAAATACAAAAAATATATATATTCGTCCATGTATGAGAGAACATATCCAAGAGAATGTATTCGTGAATAGGAAAATATATGTGCATGTTTGGGAAACCCCCAAATAGGTTCATCGTGCTACATACCTTATAGAACTATAAATTTGATTTTTTTAAATAAAAAAAAAATTGGGATATTTCGATTCTTGAACAAACGGTGCTTTGCAAGGTAGTGATTTTTTGTAAAAAGACTTGTTTCTCTCCTCACCACTTCTACTGGTTTTAAAAAGGTACTTTTCTATTCATTTTTTGCGGTTAATTTACTTCACATAGAATGTTGTTCATGTAGGAGGCCTGAAAAATGTATTATCTGAATCTTTAAATTTTTTTGTGCAAACCTAACAATTGTTTTTGTTAGGTTTTCACGAATTCTATGTTCATGGCCTTAATAGTCTCCTTATCCTTACGCTTTCTTCCCTTCTCAACCCGACCGACTCTATGACCTCGCATTTCTTCTTCTTCGCGCCTTTGCATCGTTTATTCATGTCCTTCTTTATCTTTAAATACTGCATGACCTAACCAACCTACTGCAATTCCATCTCCATTATCCATAGGACCAGCACGAATCTATAATAAAGAGAATCTCATTAGAAAATTGATTACTTAAAAGTATATCTATTTTAGAAAGTCGATCCAAATCCCATGCAATAGAAATTTAATGAGATATATCATGGGTACCCCCAGGGGAAGTCGAATCCCCGTTGCCTCCGTGAAAGGGAGGTGTCCTAGGCCAGCTAGACGATAGGGGCCTTTTGAAATBCAAAGATAGTTTAACCTTGAAATTATTAACTGTCAATAGTTCAAGGTATTAGGACCTTCTCTTCCCCCTTTCTTGCAGACGTCTTAGAAGATTCTCATGCCTCATGAGTGACTTCCTCTATAGGGCCTTCTTTACGCTTCTACAGGCGTCCTTCTAGCCGCTTGTCGACTTCTTCTTTCTCTTTACCCTTCTCCGGATGCAGGGTAGACTCCTTTCGATCTTTAAAGATCTTCAAGCGTGCCCCTGATACCGGTTCCGTCCATCTAGCCCCGTCTAGCTCCTCTATCAGATTGGCTCCGCCTTCTAGCCTCTTTACCACACGATAAGGCTCCATCCATCGATTCGCTAACTTCCCGGTCCAAGTCCTTTCTAACGAGGAATCGTAAAGCATGACTAGGCTCCCCATGGGTATCCCTTCTTGCCTGACTCGAGGATTCTTGTCCCACTTTTCCTTCTCTTTTCCCCTCTGGGTTTTTAGCCTTTCTGTAGCATCCAGAGTGCTATCCTCTAGGGTTTCAGCTATCTGCTTGATTCTAGCGGCCAACAACTGCTCTTTAGTCGAGACCTCTTCCCAATCAATCGTCTGCCAAGAGTTAATATGAAATTCTATTGGTAAGGGGCAATGTCTTCCAAACCACAAGGTGTAGGGAGGATACCCCGTAGTCGATCGAACCGTAATATTATCTGCCCAGACAGCGAATCTCAGATACCTAGGCCACTTATTTTTCTTCCCTTCGCACCACTTGGCGAGCGCATTCACTAGAGACTGATGCCCCCTCTCTACAGGAGCGTTAGATTGAGGATGATATGCTGTAGATAGCGACACTCGTACCCCGACTCTCTGGAGCAGTTTCCGAACCTCCTTAGCCAAAAACTCTGACCCCCTATCCATGACGATCTTCCCTATGCAACCATACCGTGTGATATATTCCATCAAATATCCACTTACAGCCTTGCCGGTTTTCTGACGAAGTAGCCATGCCTCCACAAACCCTGTCAAGTCGTCCCTATTGTCCATGATATAATTCATCCCTTGGGCATCTTAACTAAGTCTACGTGAACTTTCTGACCCACTGCCGTGGGATAAGAAGGGAACAAGGGTTCCTTATACTTAACCACAACTCTTTTCTGACATTTCGGGCACGTGAGACAGTATGATTCCAGGTCTCCATATAAGCCATCCCACCAATAGAGATTTCTGACCTTCTCAAATGTTTCCTTCACTCCTCTGTGTCCTCCAATGACGCCGTCGTGAAGTTTCGCTATTATGTCCCGTTGTTGACCCTCATCACAGACGACCCTCATCGGCATCCCGTTCTTAGGAGGCCTCTTAAAGAGGTGCCCCGCCCTCAGGCAATATTGTTGAGCTTCCTTTCTAACCTTGTCATCCCTCTCAACTTCACCTGTGAGGTACCGTCCTATCCCATTGTACTTTCCTGTATAAAGGTTTTCCAGGAATAGTGGAACCCGACTGGCACTAGGCTCTACTCTTAGTGAGCCTATCTCCACTTGCAAAAATTTATCGACTCCACCAGGCGACCCTAAATTTCCTTCTTCCAACAGAATTCGTGATAAGCCATCCGCGACCGAATTCTTGGCCCCTGAGATTCGTTCCACTACATAGTCGAACATCCTTATATGCATGAGCCACCTAGTAATCGTGGGATCCGTCAGCGAGAAGTCTTTCTGCAGGACGGCCGCCACTGTCGTGGGATCGACTCGTAGCACAAACATATGTCCGTAAATATAATGCCGAAAGACAATTAAGCAGTGTAGCACCCCGATAACTTCTTTCTTAAATTGGGAGTAGTTTCTTTCGGTGGTGTTTAAGGTCTTACTTTCAAACCTGAGAGGTCGCTTATTGTCCTCCTGGTTTTTTTGAGCTCAGACTCCCCCAACAGAGGCAGATCCCGCATCCGTGCAAACTACAAATGACCGCTTCTCCTTGTCCTCAAAATAAAGAACTCCAAGGACTTGATCCCCCTCTTTAAATTCATCATTTAGAGCTTTCACAACATCCTCTTGCTCACTCGTCCACCTCCATTCCACTCCTTTGCGCAAGAGCCTTCTCAGAGGTTCGGCCTTCCCAGCATACCCCTTTATAAGGTTCTTCCAAAGCCCAACCATCCCTAGGAACTGGCGTATATCGATAATATGCCGTAGCGGAGTAGGCCAGTTCATAAGCTTTTCTAACTTCGCGGAATCCGGCCTTCTACCATCCCTGTCGCAGATGTAGCCTAGTATCTTTATGGAAGACACCGCCCATCTACTTTTGGTTCCGCTTACAGTCAGACTAGCGTCCTCTAACTGCACTAGCACCATCTTAATATCTTCTGCGTGGGTAGCGACGAACTTCCTTACTCCAGGCCTCACCTCAGTCTCGTCCTTCTCATAGGGTCCTTTGATTGGAAAATCATCCAGGAAGACCTCTACCAGATTCAGTATAAGTTCTCCCATAACTCTACCATCGCTCTTTGTAAGACTGCCACGCCATTAGTCCATCCCATTGATACCACCATCATCTGTATTAGCCGCAATGGCGTGTGCATTGTAGTTAGATGCCGATCTCGGTAATCAAGTAGAATCTCGTCATAGCCTGAGAAAAAGTCACAGACCGAGTAAATCGAGCGCCCGGCAGCTCCTTCAGAAAGAAGATCCGCGTTCGGAATAGACCCGACGTCACTAACTGTAACCTTATTCATTTTCTATAGGTCTTGTATCCATCGGATCTTCCCATTTGGATCATTTCCTTCTCTTTCTGAGCGCACTTGAAGCCCGCGTCATTCCAGGGTACATGAGAGACCGTATAAATTCTGGCGGGCTTCACATATCGTGGATCTATCCGCCCCCTTTCTACGTCGCAGAACGCCACTGCTGTGTCGCAGGACCGCAGGGTCTCTATAATGAGGTCCCTTTCCTCGGTAGTAATGTTTCCGTCTCCTATATCCATTACTTTGAGTCTTTCTTCAATGATCCTTGGTCCTTCTGAGGCCCTACGCTCCCTGATCATCTGAGTTATCTCCTCCTTCGTAATACCTATCTCCCCACTCCTATCACGACTGACCGCGACCGGCTTCACCTTCTGGGCCATGGTTTTGTATCTTTTTACTCCCCCGCCGTGTGGGGTAATTCCTCCAAACAAGACAGGTTGATACACCCTCCGAATTCGTCATCATCCGTTTCTTTAGGATAGAGAGACCCATTTTATGACATACCTGTCTTCCAATTCCTCAACTTCTAACCTCTTATCTTTTATTGTAAGAGGGTCCAAGGTGAGTTTCTTCGGAATCATCTGACAACTTCTTGTCTTAAGAAGCCCTTTGTTCGGTAGGGAGACTTTATGATGTTTATCGTACTCATTCACCGTCTTTAGTGTCACTCGACTACCGTCTGGCCCGTTTATGGTAACAGTTTGACTGCCATCTCGCTTATTCTCAGTGGTGGCATTCACGTGTGTAAGCCACGTCCTGCCGAGGATTAACTCTAAGGAACAGTTTTCGACGGTGAACACTGGAACGGTGACCTCCACACCAGCTACGATAACTTTGGCCTTGTGACATACCCCAAGCGCTGGCTGTCGTAGTTTGTTAGCGGAAATCATAGTCATAGCCACGCTCCTATCAATGTCCAAGCCGAGCCTTCGCGCGACTTTGTCTTCACAGACGGTCGACTCGGACCCGTCATCCACGATAGCCTCCATTCCTACACCGTTAACGATAACTTTTAATTTTTCACTTCCTAGAACATAGAAATAATCTTCCTTTCCTCCCTTCTCTTCCTTCTCCTTTTCTGTACTAAGAGAGGATGCGTTGGCCTTTGCTGACTCCGTTAATGACACTTTAGCTTTCCTCATCATGGCTACTAGCTCGTCCCTTGCCGGACCACAACCTGCTATGAATTCTTTAAGAGGAATAGGAATTGGCATATCCATGGCTCTCCTTAGTGACGCTCTTAGATCGACCTCATCAAGTGTACTCTTTAAGTGAAACTTCTTAGGTCCTCTCTTTCTTAGAGACACTGGCGATCCGAACGACTCTACTTGTTCATCAGTCATGGGCTGGTCAGAATCCTCCTTCTTTCCACCACTAGACTCCCCCGTGTGCTGTGCGCAAACCCGAACTTCGTCATTATTAATGTCTTCCTCAAACTTAACTGACGATACCCTCATCCCCGGGCTGTCAGGTCCATCATCCAACTCATCTTCGAAGGTCACTCTTGATACCTTGGCTGGAGTCGGTATTTGAGCCTGCTTCCCTTTGGCCTCTTTCATCCTTTTTCTCCTGACATCCACATTAATCTTCATAGAGGGCAGAAAAGGAACAGGCTTCCCCTCATCAGCCCACATCACGTACTTCCTATCGTCGAGTTCTATGATCCCTTCCTTGAAGGCGTCTATCATGGTCTGACAGTCTTTCTTTCGGTGGTCCTCCTCGCCATAGTATATACAGGCTTTGTCATTCCAAGTCTGCTTGGGACTCGGATCCCCCCTTTCCCTAGTCTCAGGCCTTAGATTGGGTCGGTTTGGCGTTTCATCTCTTCTTTGGCCGGCTTGAAGTTTTTGCACGACCGCCTTCAGTGCCTCCAATTCCTTTGTCAATTCCACCTCGCGACCGTCCGGTCTCTTGGGATCTATCTCCTCCCTCAGTTTCCACCTGTTGTCCTTAATGTTCGACCATTTTTATGTTCCCCACTCGCCATCATTCCTTTTCCACTCGGGCCGGTTCCCTTTCCTTCATTCGCCTACGGCCTTCGCCTGTTCACCCCTTTTTGGTGAGCTCGAGTAGACTTCCCTGTTTTCCGTCCTTGGCCTCCTATCTTCGAGTTGAGATCTTTCCCCACTTCGGTACTCAGAGACACTTTTTCCTAGGTTGTCGAGGATCCTGGCAAGGTGGGCTTTCACACTTTGCCCTTCAGTGTCATGAACCGTGACCTTGACTTGGGCAGACGCTACTTTAGAGGGAAGGTCTCTTTCAATCTTTTCTCGCTTCTCTCGTGACAGGAACCCTAGAAATATCCCACACCTTTCTAATTCTGCTAGGAATCCCCCTTCCACCAAAGGGTTAGAAGCCTTCTCGTACCTCCTAGCGAATGCCACCAAGCTCTTATCCTCATGCTTCTTCATTTTTTGAAGATCATCTACAGAGTAGGAGATCTCATCACAGGCGAAGATCCTGCTGATTATTTCTTTGAATGTCAACCATCTCCAACTGTCTGGAATGCCTTCCCTTACTTCGCGATCTATCTTGGGAACGGTGTGATGAAGGAAGAACAATCATATCCTGATCACTCCATTCCGCCCTCATCCCTAACACTTCCCAATCATCCAAGAATTTCGTCACATTCTTTCCGTTGAAGATCGTCTGGATTCCGGCTAGCGCTGGAGACTGATACGCAGGCGGTCCAAGAAAAGGCGACATATACGCGTCCGGTGCATACGCCATGGAGTGAGGGCCCCTTCTGTATAGCTCACTCGTGGCCTCCCTACATGGATCCCTCATACCGGTGTCCGCAAACCTAGCTACCCTTGCCCTGTTTAAGACTTCCTTCCTCCAACCATCGTTCCTGGAAAACCTCCCTTCGGTTTCCTTGGTCCGATTATCCATCTCCCATAAGACTCTTTTAAGCTTATCTAACTCATTTCCCCCATCGATACACATTTTTCTGTCGGGACTATTCGTTCTAGACTCCCGTGTTCTGACTTCCCCACCCTCAGTAGGCAAGTAAGCTCCTTCGCCTTCCATCATTTCCTCTTTAATCCACTAAAAGTCGGTTCAAGATCGCCCTTATCCTTCCCGTTGATTCCTCTAGTAATTCCCGTAGCGCCTCGAAATCCTCGTTTTTCCCCTCGGCCCTCACAAGCAAGGAGGTAGTCAAGGAAGCAAGTAAGTAACGTGAGTTTGCATCCAAGGTACTTAAGGATACACCGTCCACCTATGTATCCCCGCGGTCATGACCGCGGGGTCCATCTCGGCCTGCGGTCGGGATCCCAACCGCTGAGGTCGGCCCTGCGGTTGGGTGGGGCCGAGAATTTCAAACATTTAAAAAAAATAAAAATAATAGACCAAAAAAAAATATATATATATATGGGGTTGTAGGGTTTGAAGAGCCCGACAACGCGGTAATTGTTTTTTCAGATTTTAAAATATTTTCTTATTTAAAAAAAATAGAAAACAAAAAAACATGTATTTTAATCAAAAGAAAGAAAATAAAAAAAAGAAAAAATTTTATTTTTTTATGTGTGTGTGTGTGTGTGCATGTGGGGGGGGGAAGGGCGACCCCTTCCCCACCAATCAATCAATCAATCAATCAATCAATCAATTAAAAAAAAAAAAAAAAGGAAAAAGAAAAAAATGTACGCGCGCGCGCGCGTGTGTGTGT